CTCGAGTTCTTCGACTGCAAGGCCCGGGCAGCGTCGAGCGAGAAGCCGGGCACCAAGCGGCTGGACAAGAAGATCGTGCGTCTGGCCGACTGCGTGAGCGTGGCGCCTGCCGCCGAGAGCGGCCCCAAGGAGGGCACGGCCACCTTCTGCCTGGAGACCAGCGACCGCAGCTACCTCTTCGCCGCCCAGAAGCAGCAGAGCACCGAGTGGGTGGGGAAGCTGTGCGAGATCGCCTTCGGGGTGAGCACGGGGGCTGCTGGGCCCACGGCCACGTGGCCGCGCTGGGGCCGGCACTGCCGCTGTCACTGCTGCGCCCCTGCCCTTCCACGACAGTCGCCCCCCCGCCCGCCGTCTGTGGCGCAGCATCATCATCCCACGTGGCTCCCGGCTCACGCTTTCAGTTCTGCTTGTGGTTGGTCCGGAGGCGCCCGCCCCCCTCCTGCCAGGCTGGGGCGTGGGGAGCGAGGAGGGCATCCCCGTCTGCCGGCAGCCCTTGCTCTGAGCTGCTCCCAGCCAGGCCCGTGGGGAGCTGGGGCCACGGCCCACCCATGCCCTCGGGGTGGGGGTGTGTGGGGGGCATGGGGAGCCCTGGAGCTGGCAGGCCCCTGGCGTCGGGTGCTGAGGTCCGTCTCGCTTGCTCGGCAGGGCAATGCGGGCGGCGAGGGCCGGCTGCCGGGTGGGCGCAGTGCGGAGGGCAGCGCCGCAGCGCCTGCCCTGGAGATGGCCGTGAACTCCATCTACTACTCACGGGACGAAGGTAGGGCTGGGCTGCTTGACAGGGTTCTGCGAGGGCAGAGCCCCCCAACCTGGGGCATCGCCCCCCGCCCTGGGCTGTGCCTGGGCTCAGGCCCCCGCGCCCGCCTCGGGGCATCCTTCGGACGCTGGCTGTGCCCCTCTGCGCAGCGCTGGGGTCGCCAGCCCTGCCAGGCCCCGTGACTGCCCCGGCTCCCCCTTTCACAGTGAACAGCTTCTGGGTGACGGTGCAGAGGACGGAGGCGGCCGAGCGCTGTGGGCTGTATGGGACCTACCAGCTGCAGGCGGAGCGCGACGGCCTGGCACTCCGCGACCCCCAGACGAAGGAGACGCTCTACGTGTGGCCCTACCGGCTGCTCCGGAGATACGGGCGCGACAAGGTGGGTTGCGGGGCAAGGTTTGGGATACCCCGCGAGTAAGAGAGGAGGTTAATAGACCGGGCCTGGCTACCCCTCTGCACTTGCCCCCTCAGTGTCCATCGCCTGGCCCGCGCTGCACATGCTTCCCTAACAAGGTGTTGCCAAGGCCTTGTGCCAGGGCCCCCGCCTGTCCACGTGACCTCCCTGCCATGTCCGCTGGCAGCGCACGGTCTCCCCATGCCTGCTGCCCCCTCCATCATTCCCAGCTGCGGTGCAGCCAGGCCCCGCGTGCTGCGTGGCCCTTTCCCACCCTGCGGACCCTGACTGGGCGGGAGGAAGTGGTCTGGGAGGGAAGCTGTTTATAGTAGCAGCAGCAGCAGTGATGCAGCCTGTCTGCTTCCTCCTGCCTTGGCCGGAACCAGGCAGAGGCGGGTCTGCGCCCCGGCAAGGGGCTGGAGCAGCTGGCGGAGGGTGGGCGGGGGCCGAGCTGCCTTGCAGGCACCTGTGTGCACTCAGGCCTCTCCGTGGGTGGGCGGCTTGGTGCTGTCCCTCTGCAGGTGGCTCTGCTGGGCGCACGGGGGCAGCCGGCAGCAGAGCGGGACTCTGACCTGAGCCCTGCCCGGCAGGTGATGTTCTCCTTTGAAGCTGGGCGGCGCTGCAGCTCCGGCCCCGGGAACTTCACCTTCGAGACCAAGCAGGGGAACGAGATCTTCCGTCTGGTGGAGGCGTCCATCCGGGAGCAGAAGACGCTGGCGGAGGAGCACCGGCAGAGCTGTGACTCGCTGGACGCGGACTGCCCCAGCGTCATGCAGATCCGCAGCACCCTGGCCGACTCGCTCAGCCTCGACCTCCCGGCCGAGGGCGACGGCCCTGCAGGCCCCAAGGCCGGGCTGCCTCCCCGGCTCAGCGCTGCTCCAGAGGAGAGGGACGCCCTGAGCCTGCTGAAGACCCGGAGCCTCCCGGAGCCCCCGACACCGCAGAGCAAGCCTGCGCCTACCAGCACACCCCCGCGCTCCCCGCTGCCCAAGGTGCCCCGGCCCGTGCTGCCCTCCGAGGACATGTCCAGCCTGTATTCGGAGCCCCTGGACTCGGTGAAGTGCCCGCGGCCCTGGCTGGACCCGCTGTACTCAGACCCCATTGACAGCAAACTGGGGGCTGTGGCCAAGGGTCCAGGCCCAGCCCCTTTGTCCTCGGCCATGTATGACCCGGTGCGGCCTGAGGGCAGCGCGCCGGAGCCGGGGCCAGGCTCAAGGCTAGGGCCGGCCCCACGCCGCAAGGAGCACATCTATGACGAACCCGAGGGGCGGGCGCCACGACCTCCACCCGACGCCATCTGCATCTACGATGAGGCACGGCTGCTGGGCGAGGCCTGGCGCACGCAGGGCCTGGACGACCGGGATGGCTATGAGTTCCCCTACAACCCCAACTCCGACTACTCGGTGCCGCCCATCCAGCCCAAGGCAGGTGCCAAGGGCCCCAAGCCCATCCCTGCACCCAAGCCCCAGGCTGCCCTCATCCCCAAGGCCCTCGAGAAGGGCACGGACGCCAGCCGCAGGCGTGTGGCCCCTGCTCCCGACAGGGCCAGCAACCGCCCCGGCCTCAACAGCAGCAACAACAACAACAAGGAGGTGCTGTACAGCCAGGTGCTGAAGCCCCCGCGCAGGCTGCGCCCGGAGCTGTGCGTGGATGACGACAGCCTGACGCCCATGTACGAGGACCTGGGGGAGATCTGACCAGCCGTGGAGCTGGGCCGGCTGTGCCCCCGTGGGGGGGCTGGGGTCCGAACTGAGGGGCTGGGTGGGCACCAGCTTGGAGAGCTGTTGCGGGGCGGGGACAGGATGGGGAAGCTGGTTGCTCAGCTCCTGGTGCCCTGGTCGGGGCTGTCTTGAGACCCCTCCAGTGCTTGGACTTGGACTTGGACGTGGGCGGTTTCTCCCCCACAGTATTTTTATAAAGTTTTATTTTGGTATTAAAGTATAACTTTTCAGGCTGGCGGGTCCGTGTAGGGCGTGCAGGGGGGGAAGCTGGGAAGCTAAGAGCCCCACGTAGGGCAAGGGCAACAGTGGCTGAGAACGGCATCTCCCGCAGGCCCAGCATGGGCTGGAAGCAGGTGCCCCAGATGGCCGCTTTGGCACGGGGGTGGCTGGAGTATAGTTCATAGTTCATAATAGGCAGGGTCGGAAGGGACCTGAGCAGGGCAGGGCAGGAAAGGATGCTGGGGTTCAACGACCCCAGCTAGGTGTCTGTCCAGCCTCCTTTTGAAGACCCCCAGGGTAGTTGGTCCCAGATCCTAGCCGCCCTGACAGTGAAGTAGCACCTCCTGATATCCAGCCTGAATCTCCTCTCTGTCAACTTATGGCTGTTGTTCCTTGTTCCTCCCGGTAGTGCTGCGGGGGAACAGGGATTCTCCCATTGTCTGCTGGGCTCCCTTGAGAGGGTGGGTGCGTCCTGCCCTTGGCTCCACTACAGTTAACGTGACCAGAAGTGGCTTCTGCTGCCTCCTCTCGCCTCCATCCTGCTCCGTCCAGCGGAGCCTGTGTCTCCTGCATGAGGGTCGCAGCCCGACAGTGCCCATGTCCTGGGCTGGGGAGGGTGCATGGGCCCAAGTGCTGCCCAGGACCTTGCAGGGAGGGGGAAGAGACCCGTGGGTGAGTGCTGTCACTGCAGCAGTGGCGCAGGGCAGGGGCCGCATCCTCGGCTGGCTGCTGTGCTCCCCGCAGCAGGGGCCCCCAGCCTTGCACGGCAGGCTCTGCTCTTCCTCTTTGCTGTGACAGCAGCCCCTGCCCCCACAGCAGGCTGCAGCTTCTCCAGGGCCTGTGACCAGCACCTACTTCCCCTGCGTGCAGGGGCGGCTGCAGCTGCTGCTGATGGCCGGTCTGGGGTGCAGGCCGCGGCCAGGCCTCTGTGTGCTGTTGCCTGGCGGAGCCCTGGCACTCCTGGGGCCAGTGCCAAGCCCAGCAGCCCTTCCATGTGCACCCTGCTCCCTCGGCAAAGGCCTCAGCCCTGTTCCCGGGTGCCTCCCGGCAGCTCTGGAGCAGCGCTCTGGCTGCTGCCAATGCTGCCCCGCGCTCCAGTGCGCAGCCTTCACTCCCACTGGGTTTCCTGCCTGTGTCTGGGAGCTGCCCACAGGGCCCCTTTTAGGTGCTATCCCTCCAAGGGGGAGACCTGTGTGTGCACTTGCGCTGGAGCCACAGGAACTGGGCCAGGGGAGCTTGTGGCAGAGCAGCTAGGCAGCTTGGAGGGGCTGCGGCAGCTGTGTGATCACACTGAGGCTCGTGGTTGGTTGTGGCCGCAGCAGCCGGCATGGAGCAGGCCTGGCCCAAAGACGGGGGGCGGTATCAGCCTCCTGCAGGGGGGTCCTCTGCCCATTGCTCCCCCTGACCAGGGCAGATAGAGCCCCTGGTGCTGCTGCTCCAGCCCAGGGCTGACCAAGGCAAGGCCCTGCTCGCTGGGGAGTTGGGGTATGTGTCATGCCGGGGGGTGCCGAGCCGCTCCCCACATCACGCCTTCACCACAGGCAGCGTGGAACCAGCACACTGCACAACTTTATTGTGGAACCACACAACCAGGACCATCCAAACAAGGGAGCACACAAGATACCTAGCTGCTGCAGGACTGGGGCAGCCGCAGGAGGACCCACGGCACCCCGTGGTGAACCCACCCCGTGCTGTAACGCGCATGGCTCCAGACAGCTCGCTGCCTGCCCGGGACCCTGCTTGCTGCAGCCCCGTCCTGGCAGGGCTGTGAAGCCAGGCAGGCCCGAGCAGAAACGGCTGTCTAGGGACTGCTGGGGGAGAGGGGAAGGGAAGAGCCTAGCTTCGGACTGGCACTTGTGGGGGGCCTCTGTCATGTTGGGCCCCCCTCAGACCATCCAGGACCTGCCTCAGGAACCCTTCTGCCCCTGGTATTGTGTCCTGGGGGTGCTGGGCAGGTTCCCTGTGCTGCGGGGTACACCAGCCCCCTCTCAGGGCTGCCTGGTGCTGGTGGGGACGGAGGGGCTGTGTGTGGCAGGGGGGTCTCGTGGGCAGCAGCTTCCTGCAGACGGACTCAGTAACTAACAACCAAGCAGAACAGCAACAAGGGAACTGGCTGTGGGAAGCGCCTGGGGAAAAGCAGCTCCGGCACTGGCCTGACCACTTCCTGCGCCGGCCCACGTGGCTCCAGCAGGCCTGGGGCCCGGCGCAGCCCGAGCCCCAGTTGCTGGGGCGGGGGCTGCAACCGGCGCTTAGGCCTGGTCGTCCTCATCAGAGAAGAGGGAGAGCTCACAGGTGTCCTTCCTGGCCATGGATGTGCGCAGCACTTTGGGTGCGGGGGCCGCCATCGGCAGGGGTGCCACCGTGGCCCTGGCCTTGCTGGGGGGCTGCCGGCTCAGGGGCTGTAATGCAGGGAGGCAAAGTGAGCGCAAGGGCAAAGCTGCCTGCAACCCCACCAGCCCATGGCCTCTGCCCCCCACTCCAGCAGCGCTGCCTAGCAGCACGAGGGTGCTGGCACCCTCTCCCTTCTCAGGCTCTGACGGTCTCTGCTGAGACCCCCGTGCTTCCCCCATCACTCCTCCTTGGCCGCCTCAGTGTCCCCAGTCTCAGAAAGGAGGATGCTGACTGCCTCTGGGGTCGGCTCCACGCCGGGGACATGTCAGGAGCAGGCTGCGCCGGGCAGCCAGCGGGCGAGAGCTGTGCCGTACCTGTCTGGGTGGGTGTCGCTCCCTGGGGCGGTGCTGAGCCAGCTGCCGGTGCAGGGGCCGGGACAGCTCACCCCGCAGCTGCTTGTAGAGGTTGCTCCTCATGCGTAGTGGATTGTAGATGGGCTCCAGCTCCAGGCTGCTCAGGGCGCTCTGTGCAGGGTGGATCAGACTGGGCCTGGTTGGCACAGGGCCGTGCCTGCGGCTCGAGCTCCCTGCCCAGGAGGGCACTGGGCAGGCGCAGGGATGCCAGGTGCACTGGCCTCAGAGGCCACATTCCTGTGCTCCTGCCCCATCCTACTACCCCGCAACCCATGGCTGGTCCCTCGCCCACCTGGGACCAGCGGTGTTGCTGGCTGCCTGCAGTGCTACAGCAGAGGCAGTCTCCTGGAGCACCGTCCCAGCGTCTCCCCTGGCAGCCGCAATGCCTTTCTCCCTTGTCAGGTGCTGACCCATCTCTGCTGACATCCACGCCTGGACACTCCTGCTCTCCCATCTTCCCTCCCTTGTCTCCTCTGCCATCACTGGCAGCACCTTCCTGCCCTCCCTGCCACGGGCTCATCCTTCCTCCAACCGAAGCTTCCGACTTGCAGGTACAAGCACCTGAATGATGTCCCCCTGCCGCACCTGCTGTGCCCACCCTGCTGTGCCCGGCTCTCCTTGCCTGAAGTGGGCGCACCCGGGGCAGGGAGACCTGCAGCCCTGCGATGCCCCTGGAGTGGCCACAGCCCTGTGAGAAGACAGCTCAGGCCAGGTCTCTGCTGCCAGGGAGGATGAGGCACCTGCACCTCTGGTTTAGCAACGAGCCCCATAGGGGACCTCAGCATTTGGCCCTCAGGACATGCTACTCCAGGCCATCTGCCCGTGCTCTGCTCCTCCTCTCGTGTCTGGATGATGCCTGGTGGGGACGGGACTAGCTGCTGTCTTGGGCTGGGATGGGGACCCTGCAGGGCCAGGTCCTGCTCTGCCCCTCCCCAGTGCTCTTGGCCAGGCTTCCTCCACCCCCAGGGTCGTTGTGCGGCTCAGGCGGGTGCTTGGAGAAACCCTAGGTCGTTCTCTGGCCACCCCGGGCTGCCATGAAGAGCGCTATTCCTGCTTTGCTCAGCTGCCAGGCTCTGCGGGCAGGACCAGGGCTTCCCTGCCTGTCTGGAGCAGGGCAGGGAAAAACAAAGCTCAGACTTCTGGGCACCTGATGAGGAAAGGCAGCAGCCTGGACCCCCTGCACAAAGGCGAGTCTGCTCCTGGCTCTCCAGCCCCATGTGCAGACCCTAACTTGCCTCAATGGTGCTCAGCGCGGCCTCGGGTAGCTCAGCACTGAGGGCTGGGAATGCGCAGGGCAGCAGGAGCTCTCTGACCGCAATGGCTCTGAGCAGCAGCGTGGAGGAGTCGGAGGGGATGATGGCATAGTAGGAGGTTGCCACGATGCTCCAGCTGGGGCTTGCACTCTGCGGCTCACGTTTGGCCAGGAGCATCCAGTCCCGTTTCTGGAAACAGGAGCCAGAAGTGGCACCACCTGCAAAGCTGCAACGGGCCAGGCCCTCCCACCAGTGCAGGGTCCTGCGAGGCCACTGGGCTCTGGGGCAGGAATCTCAGCAGGCCACCCCACTGCTGTACCCCTGTCCATGGCCCACAGAGCAGGGGCTCCTGATGCAGGATCCGCAGGGTGAGCAGGGAGGGCTGCTGGGCAGCACGTGGCAGAGGGACAGGTCCTGGGGCAGGGGTCAGGGACCACTCGTTAGCCAGGTGGAGAAGGGCCGAGCGGGGCGTGGGGTTGAGGCTCTGCCCAATCTGATACATGGACAACCCCCGAGGGGCAGATGAGAAGCTCTGTCCCAAGGGCACGTGGCCATTTCAGAGACAGACCAGCACCTGCATTGCACTCCTTGAAGCGGTGGCAGGTGCCACAAGACATTCCCTTGGGTTTGACCTGGTACCAAGTCGGCTATTGCTCCCTTCGGGAGCACCCATGGCTTTGGACCCACAGCTACGAGCACCAGGATGGTGTGCTCCCCCTGCACCCAGCAGGCCTGTCCCCATCCTGGCTGTGCTTGGCCCTCTGGGGCAGGGAGTCCTGCAGACCTGCAATGTCCGTGGGGCAGCCGCAGCCCAGTGAGAAGGGTTCTTCTGTGCTTTATTTGCTGCAACATCTGCAGCTTTCAAGGCCTGTCTGATGCCAAACAACCCTGCTCTGGGTGCAGGCAGCCTGGGTTTTACCCAGGAAAGGCTCCCAGAGCCATTGAGGCTGGTCCTGTGCCCAGCACAGGCCCCCTCCCATGGGCCAATGGCACAACAGTAGACCCCAGCTGCAGAGCTTGACCCCAGGGAGCAGCACAAGTGAGACCCTTCCCCTGTTCAGCCTAACGCTCCTCTGGGCAATGTGACTGTTCGCATTGTGCCTGCGTGGATCTAGGGCTGTGGACGCAAGCACACCAACAAGCTACCACATGCACAGGTACGATGCACAGGGCATCAGCTACTCTGTGCTACCTGCCCAGGTGCCTGCTCTTAGCCCATGGCAAATGTGAGCTGGCTTGCCTTTCCAGGATAGCGGGGTGAAGTACTGCAGACACTTAGTGCCTTGCTCGTGTGCCCAGGCCCTCAGGCAGCTCCTCTCCCTCCCTCACGGATGGCAGGGAACAGAGAGAGCTGCCTTAGCCAGTCCGGCCCAGCCTGCCCCTGGCCAAGGCCCTTCCTGCTGTGCTGCCCCTGGAGGGACAAGCTAGGAACCCACAGAGCCCACGTCCCAGAGGAAGTCAGTGGCAGCTCGACCAGGTCCAGCTGGCTCAGAGGTGTAGTCCTCTCCTGAGAGCCCAGAATCGCGTGGGGCTCGGTTGGGATCACACCTTGTTAGGCCACTGTCTGCTTGACTGAGGGGCCCTTTCCCCGCTCCCCTGTGCTGCAGGAGCTCTGCTGGAAGAGCTGTGTGCAGCTGTAGCCTGGGACCGCACTGAAGCTGCTGGCCCACGGGACAGCTTTTGAGACGCAGGCCAGGCCATTTCTCCCCAGATCTCACCTGAGCCCGGCCAGCCAAGGGCTCACTGGCACTCACCAGCAGACTGTGACACAGTGCGTGGAAGTGGTGCTGGTTCATCTCCAGCTCGTCCCAGTCCAGCTGCCAGCAGCTCGTCGGCTTGATGATGAAGGGCAGCCCATACAGCATGGACTCACAGACCCCCTCACGCTTCAGAGCCCTGTCAGGAAACAAAGACCGTGCCCAAAGGCCAAAGTTCAAGACCACAGCACAAGAAAGCCACGGCCTCAGGCACTCACCAGGGGCCAGCAGGGAGCGGGACCCAAACTGCCCATGCCTGACTCCAACCCCCGCAGGAGGATGACTTGGGGGTCGTGATTGACCACAAGATGAACAAGAGCCACCAATGCGATACTGCAGCTGGGAAAGCAAACAAAACTCTGGCTTGCATCTACCGATGCATCTTGAACAAGACCCAGGATGTCATCCTCCTGCTGTGCTTGGCCTTGGTGAGGCCACAGCTGGAGTACTGCGTCCAATTCTGGGCTCCACAATTCAAGAAGGATGTGGAGAAGCTTGAGAGATTTCACAGGAGAGCCACGCACATGATCAGAGGGCAAGAGAACAGGCCTTATGAAGAGAGACTGAGAGCCACAGGACTCTTCAGCCTGGAAAAGCGCAGGCTCAGGGGGGACTGGGTGGCTGCCTATCAGTACAGCAGGGGTGTGCATCAGGACCTGGGGGAACGCCTGTTCCCCAGAGCGCCCCAAAGGATGACAAGGTCCAGTGGTCATAAACTCCTCCAAGACCGTTTTAGGCTGGACATAAGGAAAAACTTCTTTACTGTCCGAGCCCCCAAGGCCTGGAATAGGCTGCTGCCAGAAGTGGTGCAGGCACCTACTCTGGACTCATTCAAGAAATGTTTGGATGCTTATCTTGCTGGGATCCTCTGACCCCAGCTGACTGCCTGCCCCTGGGACAGGGGGCTAGACTTGATGATCTTCGAGGTCCCTTCCAGCCCTAATGTGTATGAAATATCTATGAAAAGCTATGAAATCTATGAATCCAGCCCCCGACCCTAAGTAAGTGAATCCAAGCTGCTGCGTAAAGGGGTGCAGGGCTTGTCCCCCCCCATCCCCCCATTGTTGTTTTTTGCCCCCTGTGGTGGGCTGCCTGGGAATCCCCCTTTGCCTGAGACGTTAGGATTTGCCCCTTGTCAGGCCTCAGATGTGTTGCATGCAAGGCAGATCAGCCCCGGGGTCCTGGCGCACTCCCCACACAGGCAGCCACATGCTTCGCTGAGTGGTTCCCCTTGGATCACAAACCCCCGCTTCCCACCCTGAGCTCTGGTGCAGTGCTGTGGACTGCAAAACAGCTGGTGCCGCCTCCTCAGTGGTTTGGTGTCTGCAGTGACCCTCGATAATCTGCACGCTCAGAGCCGGGGGGTTGAAATGGTCCCATAGTCAGTATCTACAAGAGCTGTGACCATGCACTGCTCTTACAGACCTGCTAAGCACCTTTTCACTCATCTTTGCTACCTGCACAGAGGTAAGCGGCATTCAGAAGAAAACAGCGGAGACTGCATCACGGGGGCCAACCGAGCTGCTCATTAACGAAATAAAATCCCAGCTGTGACAAAGCCACAGAAGAGGATGCAGAGAGAGACTGGGAGGCTGTCTCTATGACTGCAATTATTAGCTCTTATTTTCAGAACCAGAGCGAACACCTGACAGGAAGGAGAACTGCACTTCTGACTCAAGTCTGAGAAAATGAACCCTGTTTGTCTCCTTCAGCTGTGACAGTCAGCCACCGTGGCAGGTCAACAACAGTGCACAGACCTAACCCCATGGGATCTGACACCCGGCTCCTGGGTGGGACCGGGCGACCCCAATGCTCCCTGCGCTGCGCCGACAACCAAAAGCTAACTGCCTTTTCTTGCCTGGGTGAGCTAACGGCTCCCCTTGCACAGGCCTGTTAGCCCTGCTCTGCTCCGTGGACAATGGTATCACATCAGCATCACGAGAGAGGTTGGCTGAGAGCTCTGGCCCCTCGCTGCTGCCGAACCCTGGTGCACACGACAGTCAGGCCAGAGGCACAAGCCATCAAGGCAGGTGGGAAGGCAGGGAGGGAGGGCCACACAGTCTCTCCTCATGGGAAAGTCTACTAGGAAAATGGAGGAGTCTTGGCCTAATGATTGGCCTAACACTCAAGCAGCGGTAGGCAAGAGATGGTGGCACCTGCCCAGCGTGGCTCTGGGAGGCAGGGTCCTGGGGGAGCACATGCAGGGGCTTGCACAGTTTTGTCTCTCTGGACTCTAACTGCTGCTGTGCTGCAGCTCCGTGTGGGGTTCACTGCACTGAGCTGGCCTGTGTCATCGCAGCTGCATGCAGTGGTGCAGTGAATGTGTCGGTGCTCACCCGGGCCCCTTTGAGCACTGCAGATGCCTCCTGATGCTGCCAAGGTCAGTGCAGCACCTCCCATCCCAGGGAGATGCTCGCCCCACACCCTCCAGACGTGGGTGCTGACTGCCCTAGGCTCTGCAGCTCCATGGCCTCCCCCAGGCTCCGAGCAGGCATGTGATGGAGCCTGCAGCCTATGGGGGTGGGCGCAGGGGCTTCCCATGGTGGGTGGGAGCCCATGCCTTGCTGCTCCTGCCCCTGCTGGCACCAGGTCCCTGGCAGGCTGCTGTGGCACTCCCACCTCCTGACTGAAGCAGGGCAGGAGGAAGAGGTCAGCAGCTTGCCAGGTCTCCCAGTCCCTCACACAGACACCTACTTGATGGCCCTGAGCCTGTATGGCGAGGCGGATGGACCGGCTGCCAGCTGCAGGGGTATGCTCGGGTCGTCCATCCTCACGGTGACGTTGGCTGCCTGGGGGAGCAGGGCTGGGCTGAGGATCCGTTCACGAATGTCGCACTTTACACATGCTACGAAGGGGAGAGAGAGGAAAATGGGGCACAAGAAAGAAAAGAAAGGCTCCAATTAGCCGCAGGCTGGAGCCGAGGCAGCCCTGACTCGGGGCCCCAGCCGCCTTCTCTTCCCCAGGCCTGTCTCAATCTGAAGAGCAGCATCTGCTTGGTGCCCATGAAATCCCCTCACAAGGGGCTCATCTGCTCCATGGCCAAAGCAATGCTCCTTATCTAATGGCTGTGGGCAATTCCCAGAGCCTCATGCTCCGCGCAGAGGTGAGGAGACCCTTGGCTCAGAGCCACTTCAGCTGCTGCGTTTGCTGCCGTAAGGCATCCAGTGAGAGATGCCAAGTGACCAGGGTGGCAAAACCCCTCCTGGGCAGCCAGCTGTGTGCTGGGACCTGCCTGCAAGCACCGCCTCTGTGGGCAGCAGCCTGGTCAGTGCAAGGGCTGAACAAGTGTCCGAGCATGCAGGTAACGTGCGGGAGAGATGCCCCTTTTCTGCCAGCTTCACCTCTGGTTTGGACCTGGCTGTACAGGCTCAGGCTGTGATGCCAGGAGAGCAGAGCGTGCTCCTGCTGCTAGGGCAATAGGAACCTGGGAACGTAAAAACAGCTGGGTAGTGGTAGCACACACCGGCAGCCACAATTACTTCAGTGCCAAAGGACAGCTGCAGCCTGAGCCACGCGGTAAGAGAGCACCGACCTAGGGGCAGCTTGGGAGCTGTCGGCAGGACACTGGGGCCTGGGACACAGACTGACTGCAACACCGGCTGCATTGACTCTGGTCGAACGTCCGAGATCTCACTGTATGACAAGCGTGAGTCCTTGGGCCTGGGCACAGGCACAGGCTACCATGTGGCGCACACTGGTGGGACTGTCCAGCTCTCCGGCTACCTCGCAGTAACTGCCCACATGCCTGCTCTCACTCTCCTGGAAGGGGTGAAGCTGCCTCCCATTGACCTCAGGGCAGGAGAGTACACATGGGGAGCTACAGTGGAGCAACTTGCTTGGGTGCTCATGCCTGGAAGGTCCTTCCCCCTGTTCCAAGGCATGTTTTATGCTGCCTGAGTGGACGCCCACTTCCAGGCATGCTTCCGCGGTGAGGGCAGAAAGGAGTCACAGTGTGACTGAGAATCAGACCCACGACACATACGCCCAGACAACAACTTCTCCCGTGCACCTGAAAACGGAGCACTGCAAACAGACAGCCCTGTTCAGATGCAGGTGCCGCATTAGCGGCACCCAAGCCCCAGGCAGAGACACCCCAGTAGAGACACCCCAGGGTCGAGAGTCCACAGCCACAGCTGAGAGGGAGAGAGAGAGGAATACCTAGGCTGGTCCTGGGGGCAGCGTGGTGAGCAGTGCCTGCTGCAGGGAGGAGGAGATGGAGCTGCTCGCGGTCTGTGCCATGGTCATGCAGCCAGGTTTTGAAGAAGGTCTCCAAGCTGACCACGTCGTTCTCGAGGGTCTGCAGGTCAATGTCCATGCCCAGGATCGAGCTGTCTGCAGGAGGGAAGGAGGTACACTACAGAGGTATGCCCCGTTCTCTCCTCCTCCACCACCTACACCCCCACACAATATTCAGACAGTCCCCAAAACGGGGGACGGGACCTCGAAAGCTATCACGGAGCATGCTGCCTCTGCAGAGGGTGCAGCACAAAGCAGGAGCTGATTCCTTCCACCCCTACCCAGAGGTCTCACTGTTCTCCAAGGGCCATGCCCATGCCGTGGCCAGCAGCACAGCTGTCTGCAGGGGCTTAGTCATGACAGAGGCAAACCAACCACTCCTACCTGACCACAGCTGCTGTGGCCCAGATTGTGAAGACTTTATCTCCACAACTCCCATACTTCCTTCCTCCCTTTTGTTCATGCTGAAATAGCATCTTCTGTTAAAGGCCACAGTGTACTTCCCGGTCACAGGCCCATTGCTCCCTTTGACAGATGGGTAAACTGAGACAGGGGCTTGGTATGTGTTTCACAGTGAGTCAGTGTTGGAGCTGGAATTAGGAGCCAGGGAGCCCTGACACCCCCATACTTAGTCCCCCAGACCCCACTGCCCCTCATCAGTAGTCCAAAGCCAAGCACTGGCTGCCCAGTAGCTGCATGGGTACAAACCACCATAAGACAATAAACTTGAAAGCTCAGCCCTGGCCAGTTTCCAAGGAGGGAATGAGTAGGAACTTGGACTCAATAATGCGCTGCTCTGAGGGCAGATCTCCAGCTACGTCTCATGTCTAGATCAAATCCTGTGCACTCTTACACATGTCTGGAAAACCCACAGGAGTGTGAGCTGCCGCTCACACTGCCACCCCTCACACTCAGTACACTCCTCAAAGACAAGTCCATCAAAAACTGCTGCAAGAAGCACTACCAAAGACTCCTGAACTTAGAATCAATGGTGACTGATGAAACCATCGAACCCATCCTGCAGCATCCAGTCTGCTAACCTCTGAAGAAGTCCACCAGGTAATAAGACAGATGAAGAACAGGAACGCATCTGGCCCTGATGACACACCAGCCGAGGTCATCAAAGTCGATGGGGAAACGATGACCAACAGGCTACACACAGTTTCTTAAAATCTGGATGGGACACTGAGGACATTCCCACTGACCTAGGGAATGCCAGTATTGTCACCATTTTTAAAAAGGGAGCTAGGTCTGACTGTGGAAACTATCAAAATATAGCCCTCCTCTCCATCACTGGCAAGATCCTCACTTGAATTCTGCTGAACTGACAGCTCCTTCTTGCTGAGGAAATCCTTTCTGCATCTTAATGTGGCTTCAGACCATCAAGAGGCATGACGGACATGATTTTTGCACCTGAGCAGATCCAGGAAAAATGCCAGGAACAACAACAGGAACTGTACATGGCCACTATCAATATAACCACAGCTTTCAACACTGTTAACCATGAGGCTCTATGGAAGATCTTATTGAAGTTTGGCTGCCCAGGGAAATTTACCACCATCCTAAGACTCCTTCATGACCAGATGACTGCCTCCATCCTATGCAGTGGCTCCAACTATGGAGCACTTTGCCCTTCAAACTGGAGTCAAGCAGGTCTGCATGATCGCACCAATTCTGTTTTTCATCTTTCTTGTGGTCTTCAAGATGGTCATCCATGATCGTGTGGCACATGGCATTGTCATCAAGTACAAGATGGATGGGAACCTTTTCAATCTCTCACCTCCAGGCCAAAACCAAAGTTACATCGGTCTTGATTGTGGAACTTCAATACGATGATGATTGTGCTGCTGTTGAACATACGGAATGGCCTACCAGTGCCAACCCTACCAGTGTCTGGGACTGGCCCTTAATATCAGAAAAACAAAGGTGCTTTATAAGCCTAGTCCGTGCCAATCAGCTCTCCCAACAAAGATCTTCGCTGACAGACAGGAGCTGGAGAGTGCCGGACACTTTGCAGACCTTGGCAGCCATCTCTCAAAGAAAGCCAACATGGACGAGGGGACCCAGAATTGGATCCGATATAGATTTCATAGATTTCATAGACATTAGGGCTGGAAGGGACCTCGGAAGATCATCGAGTCCAGCCCCCTGCCCAAATATGCCAGCTCTGCCTTTGGAAGACTATCATCACGTGTTCAATGACCACATTAGGGCTCAAACAAAGGTCCTACTACATAAGGCTATCGTAACCCCAACTCTTCTCCTCAGCTGCGAAGCTTGGGTGACCTGCAGGGACCACCTAAAAGGCAGGAACGCCATCACCAGCGCTATCTTGGAAAGACATTTGGCATAAAGTGGGAGGTTCATCATACAGTGGGAGACTCCCTCCTGAGGGGGACTGAGGGGCCAATCTGCCACCCCGACCCCTTAGCCCGGCAAGTCTGCTGCTTCCCAGGGGCCCGCATCCGGGACATTACGGAGAGGATCCCAAAGCTCCTTAAACCCACAGACCACTATCCCATGCTCCTTATTCATGTGGGCACCAATGACACTGCTCGGAGCACTCCCAGCCAGGTCATGAGGCGCTACAGGGATTTGGGAGCGGGGCTTAAGGGTCTGGGGGCACAGGTAGTGTTCTCGTCGATCCTCCCAGTATCAGGCTATGGGCTGAGAAGGGACAGGAGGATCTATGTGGTCAACCAAAGACTGCAGCGCTGGTGTCGTCAGGAAGGCTTTGGCTTTCATGACCACAGCCCGCTCTTTGGCGAGAGAGGCAGCGAGCTGCTGGGAAGGGATGGCCTCCACCTCTCTCCCCTAGGGAGGAGGCTCTTCTCAGCCAGACTGGCTGACCTCCGGTGGGGGCCGGGGGCACCCCCGCCACTGCTGGCCCGCTGAGCAATCCTGGCAAAGCCAGCGGATCACGGCGCTTCAGGGAGCCCACCCCTGCCCCAGCCCTGGTAAAACCTGCGGGCAAGGAAGGAGCCCCCCGGGGGGCACGTGCTTGCCTGTACACTAATGCCAGGAGCTTGGGGAATAAGCAGGAGGAGCTCATCCTCATGCTCAGTGCAAACAATTACGATGTCATAGGGATAACGGAGACCTGGTGGGACTCCACCCATGACTGGACCACGGGGATAGATGGCTATACCCGGTACAGGAGGGATCGTGTAGAGAAAAGGGGCGGGGGGGGTAGCTCTCTATGTTAAGGAAAGCTACACGTCCCTGCAGATTGTTTGGTAAATCTGTGCTAAGGCTAGCTCTAGGTAGAGGTAGTTGCCTTAAAGAAAATTAAATGAATAATAATTTTGCATTTTTTTTTTAATTCAGGAAACTTCTGGCATGATTTAGTCTCACTTCCCAGAAGGTATCCGATGCAATGCTCTCCTTCTCGAACACGTACTCCTAGCAGCACGTGATTGTTTCCCATTAGTGAAGTGGTCCAATAACTGCCTTCTTCTATGAATAAACTAGAGCAACCCTAATTTAATTTTGAGGAAAGTAATTTCACTCTTGTTTATCTCCTGGAAACATACCTCCTCATTATGGTTGATGAAATTGTGACAGCATCATGGCTGGTCTTGTTCAAACTTAGATTTGCGGTCAGAAATGAAAAAGACCTTCATGCACTAACGTTTAATTATAAAAGCACTTTTTGCACTACTCCAAAACCAAACCCATAGTTCTGTGTATTTGGCTTTTTTCTCTTTCAGGTAATGATAAAGAGGTGGAGAACCAACCTTGGCCAAATCTGTACTTAGTTCTGGGAAAGTCTGAGTTTTGGCAAATATGCTGAGGAAAATGTAATGACCAGCAAACCTGAGGCTGAGGCAGCCCAACATTTTATCTCCTGAGTCTAATTTCAAGTTTTCTGACATCTCTTAATTGACTTCAGTGCATGCATTTGATGGCATCACTTTAGTTTTCCAGAAATGCTTGCACAGTTTGGAGGGGGAAAAGAAACCATTTTCTGAGTGGATACCAGCACTGCTGTAACTATCAGTAGTAGATTCATGGCAGAACATGCTCAGATTCCCAGCAACACTGAAACCAACCACAATTTTTTCTTTGAGGTTTGAGATGGTTTGGACTATTATTCTTCTGAAGAGTAGAAAATAGGAGGATACTTTTAACCTATTAAATAGGTACTTTGCGTCAGTCTTTCATCAGTCCCATGGGACGCCCATGCCCGCTACAGGGCCGGGAAGTCCGGGTGAGGGTGATCCCCTGCCCTCCATTAATGCTGACTTTCTGAAGGAACATCTTGAGAAGCTGGATACCTTCAAGTCAGCTGGCCCTGACAATCTTCACCCCAGGGTACTCAAGGAGCTGGCGAGCATCATAGCCCAGCCTCTAGCACGGATCTTTGAAAACTCTTGGCGCTCTGGTGTAGTGCCCGAAGACTGGAAGAAGGCCAATGTGGTGCCTATCTTCAAGAAAGGGAGGAAAGTGGATCCGGCTAACTATAGGCCCATCAGCCTGACTTCTATCCCGGGGAAGATCTTAGAAAAGTTTATTAAAGAGGCCATCCTTAATGGACTGGCCGACGCCAACATCTTAAGGGATAGCCAGCACGGGTTTGTTGCGGGTAGGTCTTGCTTGACCAATCTCATTTCCTTCTACGACCAGGTGACCTATCACCTGGACAAGGGAGAAGAGATTGATGTCATATATCTTGACTTCAAAAAAGCCTTCGATCTGGTGTCCCATGATCGCCTCTTGGAGAAACTGGCCAATTGTCGCCTTGGGTCCTCCACGATCCGCTGGCTGGAAAATTGGCTCCGGGGTCGGACCCAGAGGGTAGTAATCGATGGAAGTCACTCATCGTGGTGTCCTGTGACCAGTGGGGTCCCCCAAGGCTCTGTCCTTGGACCCATACTGTTCAACATCTTCATTAATGATGTGGACACTGGAGTCAGAAGCGGACTGGCCAAGTTCGCCGATGACACCAAACTTTGGGGCAAAGCATCCACACCAGAAGACAGGCAGGTTATCCAGGCTGACCTGGACAGGCTCAGCAAGTGGGCGGATGAGAATCTGATGGTGTTCAATGCCGATAAATGCAAGGTTCTCCACCTTGGGAAAAAAAACCTGCAGCA